TCCCTGCAGGCCCAGAAGCAAGTAAAACAACCCATGGTCCCCTCACACCAGGCAGAGGATAGTCTCGGCTGTCCCAGAGAGACACTTCCAGCCAACAACCTGAGATGTCTGGACACATCTCGCTTCTGAAGGTCCAGCTGGGTCCAGCTCTGCCACTGATCCTAAGGTTCTGTATATCCCCAGTCCCCGTGCCTGAGTGCCATCTGTCTGTCTAGTCTGTGATGTCTCCTAAAAGTGAGTGGGATCTCATTCCTGCCCCTGCTCCTGTGTGACATGCCATCCACGCTCCCTGCCACTCTGCTCAAAAAGGCTCTGCAGCCTCATGTTTTGCGAACAAGTGCGTGGCTGAACCTTTCATTGGGTCTCGTGTTCTTCTTGGCTATTTCTAAACACTTAACACCCACTTTTCCAGCTAACGCTTTCTGAGCACATGCTTTGTCCTAGGTGTGTGTGGGGACAACACAAGCAAGGTCGATACTCTTGTGAATGGCAGTGAGGAGCGAGCAGTGAGCGAGGAAACACGAATCAACACCATAACTGCACCAGGCGAGAAGTGCTAAGAAGAAGAAAAAAGGAGGAGGAGGAGGAAGAGGAGGAGGAGAGGTGGAAGAGGAGGAGGAGGACAGTGTGATAGGAAATGATCTGAGGTGAGGTGGGGAATATTTTCGACTTCAGGGTTAAACTTCTCTTCCCCCAGACTTTACAGACAGTTGCTGAAGACCGGAAACCACCTGCCTGTGTCAACACACTCACCTTGTAACTTCAGTGATCACCTCTTGGATGTATTCCTTTTCTCGGGTGATATTTTAATGTTGGCTTTTCTGAAAATAAAGCTGCCCTTTGGAAGAGTATTAAGGAAGTGTAAGGCTCATTCACTCAACAAATACTTGCTGAGCTTCTGCCATGTTCCAGGCATCGGAAGTGCAGCCACGGACAACACAGACGAGGCTCTGCTTATGCGGAGTTTCCAGATAACCCGCTGGCACAGAGAAAACATCACTTGGCTAACAGCGCATCTTGAGAAAGGACAGGACAGGAAAAGCCAACCAAGGCCACATAAATCTCTCAAGTCACAGCCAAGCAAGGGGTTCTACGCAGTGTGAAGAATCCAGGGGTGTCTGCTTTGTAACCCGTGAGGTTGGCTCTGGCTACCACGATGGGATAACATGACATGGGTGAGAGTGAATGCACAGGTGGGGACCTTTACGAAAACTCAACCTAGGAATGAAACCAGCACACACAAGATACCCAGGGCACTCTGGGAGCTGAAGCTAACAGCTCAGTGGCAAAGGGCTTACCTTGCATTCACAAGACCCTGGGTTTAAGCTTCAGCACTACCCCAAAAAGTAACAGTGATGTGGGCTGAGGGCCGAGGGCTGTGGGACATATGGGTTCGAGACTGGGCTGGTCACATCTAAGAGCTGATGAGGGTCTCAGGTGCAGAGCGAGGACGGTGAGAGGACGCACCAGCCAGGGCCATTTGTTTTCATTCTTCCCAACTGGCTTCGGTCGCCAATTTGGTTAATGGAAAGTTTTAACCATCTGCGGGAGTAACCGAATGCCTCTACTCACCTGCCCACCCACTCGCCCCCACAAGGATGAGAGGGAAGAAAGAAGCCAAGGCCGGGGCTGGCACGGCTGCCTTCTCCACGATCATTTCTTTGGATTATAGCTCTTGTCACCTTACACTACCCATGAATAACTAATCAACCAAATGCAAGCCTGCTGATAAAAAAAACAAAAAAAAAAAACCAAAAAACAATGCATGTTGGATCTGAAATGAGCAGCGTAAAGGGTAATGTTAATCCCACTGGTAGATAACAAAACAGGAACAAACACCAGGGGTGTGAAGACAAGGAAAGTGCTGAAGGGCGCTCCTGGGAGGGAAAACTGTCCATGAACAAGGTGTGTGTGTGTGTATGTGTGTGTGTGTGTGTGTGTGTGTGTGTGTGTGTGTGTTGGGGCTAACAGGAGAAGGTCACCATACTTATATCACGAAGATTATATCCTTTTTATTTATTTATTTATTTTTTAAAATTTTTCTGGCCCTCTGTATGATCGTAAGGAATGTCACTCTGGATCAGATCCACTGGCTACTGAAACTCCGCTCTGCCTGCCTCCCTCATTTCCACAAATCACGAGTGGTCTTCTGCTTTTCCCCAGCGGTCATAAAGGTGTTAGTCTTATCCCTAATATTGAAGTGGGGTCCAAAAGAGTTGTTGATGGTTTGAACTTTCATGATGTGTAGTAATATTCTGGGTGTATAATGGGTGTCTAATAAATGCACACTTCCAAGCTGGGCACGGTGGCCCACGCCTTTAACCCCCGCACAGAGGCAGAGGCAGGTGGATTTCTGAGTGTGAGGCCACGCGAGTCTACAAGGTGAGTTCCAGGAGAGCCGGGGTGATACAGAGAAGCCTTGTCTTGAAAAAATCAATCAATCAATCAAATCAATCATCAGTCCGTCAATCGACACTTCCACAGACTTTCTAAATGATGTCAGTTTCTCCTTTCATTCATTTTCTGGAGGATCTTGGTTTGGTTGGTATTGCTGTTGTTGTTTTGTTTTTTTTTTTTTTTTTCCTTTGTGGTGCTATGGATTGAGCCCAAAGCCTAGTGAATGCCAGGTAAATGTTCTACCACAGAGCTACAGCCCAGGCATCTGGTTTTAAAGACTAGGTCTCAATAGAAAGGCCAGGCTGGCCTTAAGTATGGAATCCTCCTGCCTTAGATATCAGAATGCCAGGATCACAGGCCGACAGTCCCATGCCCAGTGCTATCTTTCTAAAATGTCTTGACCACTGTGGATGAAATTTCCAGTCTCTATGAGTTGGCTAATTTTATGTCAACTTGACGCAAGCTAGAGTCGTTTGGGAGGAGGGAACCCCAGTTAAGAAAATACCTCCATAAGACTGGGCGGTAGGCAAGCCTGTAGAGTATTTTCTTACTTAGTGATTGATGGGAAAGGGCCCAACCCATTTGTGGGTGGTGCCTTCCCTGGGCTGGTGGTCCTGAGTCCTATAAGGAAGCAGGCTGAGCAAGCCATGAGGAGCAAGCCAGTAAGCAGCGCCCCTCCATGGCCTCTGAATCAGTTCCTGCCTCCAGGTTCCTGCTCTGTTTGAGTTCCTGTCTTGATTTCCATTGGTGAGGAACTGTGACCTATAAGCATAAGCTTTCCTCCTCAAGTTGCTTTGGTCGTTGCATTTCATCACAGCAATAATCCCCCAAGTAGGACGCTCCACCTCCGGTGAATGGATTAGACCTGTGTCACCCTTCTCCTGGATGACTTTCCTTTGGACGGTTTATTTTATACTTTGTGTGTATGTGTCTGAGTGTAATCACACACATGCATCATGTGTGTGCCGATGTCTGTGGAGGCCAGAAGAGAATGTCGGATCCCTGGAACTGGAATTACAGGTATTTGTGAGTCATCTATCTGAGGTGGGTGCTGGGAACTGAACCCAGGTCCTCTGTAAGAGCAGCAAGCGGTCTTGAATGCTGAGTCATGGGTCCAGGGCTCCCTCAACGTCTCTGATACTTTACGTCATGTAACCTTGAGATTTTCCTAGTTCTAATCTCTCTGTCGTCTCTGTCTCTCTCCTGTGTGTGTGTGTGTGTGTGTTGTGCTGTTTGCCTGTGTGCATATATACAGGAAGATGTCAGGTGTCCTGCCCTATCCACTGAGCCATCTTCCCAGCCTGTGGTTCTAATCTTCTCTTGTTCCTGGATTTTCCTCTCTTGCACCCAGTGGTTCCTTTTCCTCCTATATTGGAAGACGCCTATACCATAAAAGCAGTTTTTCTCTCCTGTCACTTTTTTAAGAAATTAATTGCATCACAGTTCAAATCAGCACATATGTCCATCATTGTCTGCCCCACTGGATGTAGAGTACCTGCATGTGGGCTTGTCCGTCTTTATTGGACTTTAGGCTCCTCCATGACAAATACTCTAGACATGTTTTCACGTCCCCTGTGGCACACACTGGCTCTAACGAGCAGACTCAAGCCTTCAAATGACGCTGCAGGTAGATTGGGTCATTATCGTCCCTCAGTATGGCTAGGGGACCCTCCTCAAAGCTCCAATTGGTAAATACATGATTCCAGGTCCTGGCTCCCGACGCACCCTGGATTTGGCACAGAGACATTCTGATATTGCCAATCAGGAAAGGATTGTGAGGCTTACCGTGGAGTTGTCTAAGGACCAAAGCCTACTCCTCCTCATGCTCATCTGGACGGGCTCGAGTCTGCCAGCGCCTCTCCTAAAATACAGTCTTCAGGACTGAACTCAGAACTGTGTGTGGTCTGACCTGCTGGCACACGCTGAGATTACGGCCTCCTTCCTTGCACACTGGGCTCTGCTATTAATAGCGCTGAAGACTGCGTTAGGGTTCTCCACAGCCTCCTCGTGCTGTGGGTTCACGTCAAGCCTGTGACGAGCTAACCTCCTGCAAAGGGCCTTTCTCACGAATGCCTTCTGTCCGGCCAGGCTTCCCATCAGCCACTGGGGCAACTGATTCTCCCCACCACCACCACCACCCCAAAGCTTGTAATTATCTGTGGCCCAAACCAGTAGACACAAAACCAGGTCTTGCCGTCCTTTCTCACACTGGGAGAGGATAGCGATCTTGGGGGTCTTTCAGAACTCCCAGAAACGGGGCAGTGTCTGCTGAGAGAGAGCCCCCAGCGTCATCATCGAGCCCACAGAAGAGGATGGTGACAAAATTAATTTTCCGGTTCGCTTCAAATTTGTGTCATGCTTGTTCCCGCCCGCCTTATATGACGGTCCTGCTTCAGTATTGTCCTAACTCTAGTGTTGATTGGCAAAGCCTCTGGCTCCTCCTGCCACGGACACAGCACACTTTCGTTTGTTATGCCCTCTCCAGGCAGCATTATTTTTAGCATGAATGTCTTGCCCGGCAAGCAATCTGTGCTGCAGCCTGCCCTTTGCTCCCCTCACACTCTCTCTCACTCCTTTTTCCGTCCCCCCCGCCCCCCCCCTTCTATAAGTGTCAATACCATGTTTGCCTAAGCAGATTTGAATCCAACTTCGAGTTCCCTTCCTTTCAGGGTTTTTTTTTTTTTTTTTTGGAATTTCAGCTGATTGTTAATAATTGTAGAAATTGCAGCGTGGGCTCTTGTGGTGGGTCTTGGCATCAACCACAGGAAGCCCCTAAATTGGTGAGATTTTGATGTCAGAATCCAGTAGCAGAAACTTGAACTCCGCAACGGGAGACTATAAAGGGAGGAAGACAGACTCCTTTTCCCTGCTCCACCGGAAGGGGGAACCGACAGTCAAAGCGCTTCCTCTGCTCACCAGACGAGGGCGCTCACACCCACAGTCCTCCCAAGTGCGCCCTTCTTACACAAAGTAGCAGTTTCTCACAGAGGTCTGCTCAGATTTGGTTGGGTTGGTTTTCTGGAGATAGAAACACCTAACGGAGTGACACTGTAGCCGTTGCACGGTGTATAATGGGAACGAAAGTTTTAAAAACTACGGTGTAGCTGTGGGTCCGTGAGCCCGCTGCTGTGGTGAGTGGACACGACTGCAGAGAATGTTGAAAGATGGTCCCCCAGGTACAACCTATAGAGTGAGTGAGGAGGGGTTGGGGGCGGGGCGACCCCGCCGTTCTAGCTGTCATCTTTGGATGTGTTTGGCAAGGCCAGCCTTGGTGGAGGCGGTGGGGGAAAGCTCCAAGGCCAGTGGAGAGGCATCAGGGAAGGTGGCAATGTCTCCATGTCAACCGTTTCCAGGTGGAGTTAAAAGGCAGGGTTATTTTCTTCTGGGAGCCCGGCCCCTTTCATCAAGGCTAAGGTGGTGGCTGATTAAAAAAAAAGAAGAAGTGGAAGATTAAGTCTGAGAGGCCAGAGGAGAAAATGGTTTCCAGGTGGAAAGCCCTGGACAGAACAGTGAGCTGGTGCCTTTCCTCTGCGAAGGCAGCATATTGCTTAAGGCCCTGCCCAGCCCACCCCCCTACCCCGTTCCTCACCCACCGCCCCCCTCCTGGCAGCGCTGGGCGACAGCCAGGCCCAGGCGTCAGAGGGCTTCCTAACTGCCTAGCTCGAAGATGTTTAATAAAATATTTACCTCCATGTATAAGAATAGCGATGACAGAAAGGCGAGCAGCAGTTAAACAGTTTTAACAGTCACAGGAGAGCCGCCCTGGGGTATTTTCTTTTCTTTTTATAAAAACAGAAAGTTCCTGTTTTAATTCTTGTACCTATCATACCTTGGGAGCCAGTCTCCTGTGAAAGTCAAGGGAGGCCAAAGTCAGACTCCTGGCCCACTTCCTGACGCTCCTAAAGGTGATGTTTTCCGAGGTCCACCCTTACCACCTGGGAAGGTCCTCCCTCTGCTGTGGTCACTCCCTAAGTCCTACTGATTCATGAGTAATCTAGCTGGCTGCATGGAGTCATTCTGAGCTAAAGGAGAGAAAGGAGAGCAGAAAGGAATGAAAAAGAGTGAAAGTCTTCAACAAGAGCTCCAGATTTCTGACTCTGTCCAAGGGGAGCATGGAAAGGAAAACGAAAAAGAAAAAAGAAAAAGAAGGAAAGAAAACCACCGGCTAAATATATTTTTGCTTTTTTTCACCCTTCAGAAAAACTTTTGTATTCCTTTCCCCAGTTTGAAAAACAAAACATTTTCTCTCTCATTGAAGTTAAAATAGACTTTTGCATATCTAAACATATCAAACAATGTTAGAAGAAAATAATTATATATTAAAGGTGTCAGATCAGTAAGGGTATTTGAAAAACATTAATTTTGCTTTATCTCACATCCTTTATCTTTTTTCCCCCTTCCAGTTACATCCTATTTCCAGTGGCTTTTCCTTATTACACAGTGCCAGAGAAGGGGCCAGCTTAGGATCTCCATACGTATGCTCATTTTCTATTAGAGGAACACAGACTAGCCCTGAATTTAGGAGTGGACTCAGTAGTCATGGTTCCTGAGGAAAGAAACATTTATTTATTTAAGGAGTACAAAGGACCCATTACTTTTCGACAGGGAATTTATACTTGGTGAAATTTTCATGAATAAAAACTCATTTCACTAAACGTTTTCTAGGAAAAATACAGCCCACTTTTATTTTGGGTGTAAAGTCTGGCATGTCTGTTTTGAAAAGTAAGGCTTGTGAGACTCCGGGAGGCGGATAAATGAACAGACTCTTTAATAAGCCAGGCGCCCGGCATGGCAGGGAAATGCAATAGCAGAAAGTAAACAGAGCATTGTGTGAAAAAGAGCAAGTTGAAATTAATCTTGCTTTTCCAATTTGAAAACACGCTCGTGGTTGTTAGCAACTGAGTCAAGACATTTAAATCACATATATACTTTTCTATCTTGACAGTGACCTTTTCTAAGTATGCAGTAGGGATAAGAAGATGAGCCAAGCCACGCTCCTGAAAGAGCATTTCAGTTAATTGAACATGAAATGTGTTGCAATCTGATCACATTAATAATACACGATTGCTGTTCTGTAGCTAATATGCAGTTCATTTGCTCGGGGTCCAACTAAAGCATTCTACAAATGTTAGCATATGAATCCCGCTGCAAACCTATACCCTAAGCAGCTATATAAAATGCATCTTGAAGGATCTTTGTATTGGCTATCTGGGCTGTGTAACAAATCACTCCAACACTTACCAGTTTCTGTGAACACTAGGGGGCTGGAGAGGTGGCTCAGTGGTTAAGAGCACTTGCTGTTCTTGCAGAGGACTGGGGTTTGGTTCCCAGCACTGACATGGTAGTTCCCAGCATTTGCAACTCCAGTTCTAGGGAGTCTGATACTCCTGATTCTATGGGCACCAGTCATGCATGTGGTATACACACACACATACACACACACACACACACACACACACACACACACACACACACGCAAAACATTCCTACTCGTAAAAATGAAACCTTAAAAGCCTATTCTTTAAAATATTAGGGGCATAAACAACAGATAGATTTTAAAATTCGCAACATGACTGATGGTAAAAATTCGCGCCTATGATGCACAAATCCCTGGGTTCCGTCCCCAGCCCCAGCCACATACTCTGGGCATGGTGACACACATCCGTAATCCCAGCAGTGATGAATGGAAGGATGGCTCTGGATTAAGAGCATTTGCTGCTATGGTAGAGGACCCAAAATAGTTCCCAGCACCCTGGCAGGGTGGAGCACAACCTCTTGTAACTCCAGCTCCCGGGAACCCAACATCCTCTTCTGTCCTCATCCAGCACATGCACAGTGATGCCTACGCACGCGCGCGCACACACACACACACACACGCACACACACACGCACACACACGCTACACAAGGTAAAAAGTAAGAGGAAGAAACACTTCAAAAAGTGCCTAGCTACAGTGGAGGGACATTAGCAGCTCTTTTTTTTTTTTGCTGCCGCTGTCAACATACATTTAAAATATAGAGAGTAAATTTTGAGAGATTTATGAGAGATCAGCAAATTTGGTCACATAAAATAGTTAAAGCTTTAAAATTATTTATTTTGTATGTTATTGTATTTGTTTCATGTACGTTGGGAGCATCACGGTACACATACGAAAGTCAGAGAACAACTTATAGGAGCCTTTCCTCCCTCCATGTGGGCCCTGGAGATTGAACTCAGGTCCTCAGGCTTGGCAGCGAGGCCTTTACTCACTGAGCCATCTTGCCAGACTTCAATCACAGAGAAAATTTAATGTGCCTTTTTAAAAAGTGACATTATCAAGTAAATGAAATACCGGCAAGCTTATCACAAATTTAAATGTAACTAGTAAGTCTGACTTGCTGGGAACCATGTAGAAATTACTTAACAATAAGTGATATACATTTCTTTCCAAAAATACACAAAGTATTTATAAAATATTAAGCATGTACCAAAGCAAGCTTTGGTAAGTCACAAAGTATCTGATTCATGTTGGAAACTGATCTTTTAAAATTTCTAGTTCAGTCTGGTTAAACATTAATATCAACATGTTCAAATACTTTTCATTTTTAGAAATTCTAATTTTTATTAACTAGATAATCATTTAAAAGCCTGTACATTGCCGGACGGTTGTGGTGCATACCTTTAATCCCAGCACTCAGAAGGCACAGGCAGGTGGATCTCTGTGAGTTCCAGGCTAGCCTGGTCTACAGAGCAAGTTCCAGGACAGCTAGGGCTAGACAGAGAAAGTATGTCTTGAAAAACAAAAACAAAAACAAAAACAAGCCTATACATCTTGGAAAATGCAGTTTGAGTGGTACCTAGAGAAAAGTTTGCAACCTTATAAATAAGAAAAAAGAAGTATAAAGTGAAACTAACCAGGTTTTGAATTGTGGCACTGCCTGTAATCTAGCACTGGAGAGATAGAGGCAGTTCAAGGCCAACATGGGCTATGAGAGACCCTGTCTCAGAAAAAAACAAAACAAAACCCCCTGAAAAAATGGAAGGAAACCAAATCAAAATCAGACCATGAACTATGCCATCAAGAAATTAAGAAAGGGCCATCAGAGGCTGGGAATGTAACGCAGCGGTGGGGAATTTGCCAAGTATGCATGAGGCTTTGTGTTCAATCCTCAGTACTAGGAAAAAGAAAGGAAAATCAAAAAGTAATAGAATACGCTAGAGCTAAAAGAATGTAATAATGTTCAGTAGTTTTTACATACAGTCTCAGCACTTGGGAGACCAATATATCAAGACACTTAAAAAAAACGATACTATGCAACATAATATTCTTCTTCTATAGTTAAGAAAGTAAGATAAATAGGAACCAAAAGAATGAAGCAGGAAAAAAAAAAGTGGTACAAAACCCAAACCAAACAAAAACAAACATAAAATGAGATTTTTTTTTTTTTTTTGGAAAATAATCATAGAAAGTAAACTCTAAAAAAACAGACTCAGATAGGGGCTTGAGAGAGGTCATCCGTTAAAAGCAAACACTGCTCTTACAGAGGAACCTGTGTTTGGCTCCTACTGCTCACAAGGCTTTTCACAACTGTTTCTAACACACACACACACACACACACAAAACAAAACAAAACAAAACAAAACAACAAAAACAACTTAACTGGCCCCCACAGACCTTGGAGCATACATGAGGCCCTACATTTGATTCCCAGCTCCACAAATAAAACAAATCAAGATCCTCCTCTTCCCCCAAAACAACACAGACAGACTTCCAGCCTGATGCATGGATATAAGGGAATCTATGTGTGAAATAATATATGGAATGAAGCGGATGAACATTATAGACAGAACCGAGTTTAAACTTTGTTACAAGGGAGCTAGCAACTACATTTTGTTAGTACATTTGAAAAATCTAGATGGCAGCAGGGCTCGGTGGCACACACTTTTGATCCCAGCACTGAGGGGGTCCGGGTAGGGAGGCAGAGTCAAGAGGATCACTGAGTTTGAGGCCAGCCTGTTTTACAGAGCAAATTCTAGGACATCACGGCTACACAGAGAAACCCTGTCTTGAAAAATCACAGCCAACCAACCAAGTAAATAAAAAAAAAACCAAACCAACCAAACACACAAAAAGATGGAATGTATAATTTCCTTAAAAATTATTAAAAAATAATGAACTAATATGAAATTTAAAAAAAGAATAAAAAATATAATGAAAGAAACAGAAACCACAAAGAAAGTTGTAATTATAAGGAAATGGTGTCCCTACTTAAAAAAAAAAAATCAACCTATGAAATGGCTGCCCCAGACCCAGAGATTTACCAGAATGTTCTAGAAAACATTTAAGAATAAATAAGCATCGTATTTTTGTTGTCTGTTTGAGAGTTGGATTGTGTATTCTTGGCTGCTCTGGGACTTTATTGTGCAGACAAGGCTGACCCTGAACTTATGGTGGTCCTCCTGCCTCTGCCTCCCCAGTGGTAGGAAGCCCGGTGTGTACCATCTAGTTCTAATCTTTAACACACTGTTCCAGAAGGTGAATACGAGCAAGGAAGCAACATTCACCATCTCAGAAAGCCAGTATAAATAGACAAAAGCATTAAAGGGAAATTGTAGCCAATATGACTTCTGAACATGACCTCACAAAAAAGGTCCTAGGGTGAGAATGGACAGTGACATTCACTCATTTATCAATCTGTCTCCCACCAAAATTATTTACTGTCAACCGTGGACTAGCAGGTACTGCACTGGTACAGGGAGAGCAAAAATGGATGGGAACTCCTGGCCTGGCCAAGATGGATAATAAAGCAAATGATCACACAGGGTGAGGTACACAGAGGACCTTCTGGTGGGTTAAGAGCCTATCAAGAGACATTTGACCTGCTTAGAGAAATGTGGGAAAGCTTTCCACGCATATAAATGGACTAAGAGTCCTTGTGGGCAGCTGTGGGATACTATTCCAGGGCGTCAGGTGCAAGAGGTCTGGTATACTGTGGCAGGAGAGATGGCTCTGACGAACCAGTGAGATGGTTCATTGGGTATAAGTTCTTGCTGATAAAGCCTGACCCTGGCAACCTGAATTCAAGCTCTGGTACCTAGGAGAAAGAGAGAACAGCCTCCTGGAAGTTGTTCTCTGACCACACATACAATAAAAATAAAACTTAAAAAAAAAAGGAAAAGATGGATTTCAGTGATATTTACAAGGTGAATTCTACAGACCCCTGTAGAATGTACATGGTGAGGGCAGAGTTCAACCATGTTGCTTCCAGGCCGGCGGAGTCTATTCACTGACAAGGATTCCAAAAGGGGGAGAATGGTATGGATGTGGCTTTGGCCATGTGGTTTCTTTAGGAAGGTTAAGTGGAGACGTGGAAAAGAATCCTGAGCACAGCCGGGGAACTCTGGCAAGGTCAAAGTGGGAGTTTTGGAGTGGGCTCGGCATGTAGGTGGTATTTAAACTCATCCTGTTCAGAAGGTCATCCAGGGAGCGGATAGCTGGAGGACAGATCAGGCTGAGGAAGCACACCAATATTAAAAGGAAAGATGGCCAACCAGGGAGGGCTCAGAGATAGAAGAGAAAGGTGGGGGACGGGGAACAGGGGCCAAAGAACCTTGGAGAGTGTGGGCGTGGGCAGAAAAGGGGAAAGAGGAAATCTCAGGAAGGGTCTAGCAGGGCTGAGACCCCAAGGCACAGTGAGTGATAAAGCAGTACTCCTGAGTGAGCAGGGGAAAAGACTCAGAATAATCAACTCCTAGTGCAAAGGGAAGGGCGGGGGGGGGGGGAGTGTTTGGTTGTTTGGGACAATGAAGTTGTTCGGCATGTTTATCTTGGTGGTCCTCATACATGGGGCACACTTGTCAAAACTCAGAATCATAGAGCGATGGAAGGTCTGTAACCAAAATGTGGTCGCCTGGGGGTTGGGGTAGGGAGACAACAAACAAACAAGGCCCCTGAGGCTGGTCCTGGGGCTTAGTTGGTAGCCTTGGCATATGACTTTCTCCTTAGCAAGCAAATGGCCCTGGGTTTGATCTCTAGCATTGTGTGAACTATACACCTATTATCGTAGCAGTAGAGGCCAGAAGATCAGAAGTTCAAACCCACCCTCTGCAATCTAGAGTTTGCCGTTGGCCCTTGGCCATCTGAGACAGCATCTCAACAAAGCAACACGATCTGCAAAGGGAAAATAAAACTTGGTGGTGATGGTGGGGTGGCCAGTGGGGCGTGAGTTCAAGGCCAGCCTGGGTCCACGCACAGCAAGACCCCCCCCCCCCATCTCCAACTTTAACGATACCCAACTAAGAGGAAACCCTAGAATGATGGAGACTTCCCTCTTAGCCCTGTATCAGTCCCTGGTGTGCCCGATGCAGAGCTACGGGCCTCATCCCCTCAGGTCGCCACTAAAACGTTTACGCAAGAGGGCATCAGGAAGGCAGCCACCCACTTCTGTCTAGTGAGGGACAGCCCCACCATGCATGCTACAGAACCAAAGGCACTGGACCATGGCCAGAGCCCCTCTCAGGGATTAACTGTTTGGGGTAGGAAAGCAGTCTGACAGCCTGGCACCTTTGGGACTCTCACATTCAAGGAGGGAGCTGGGTAAAGGAAGGCCTTTCCAGCTCTGATGGTCTGTGGTTCTAAAGATGAAAAAAAAAAAATCTGATTATAGTGGAGTTGCCTCTATTTTGTGATAGAGAATAATCGCAATAAACAACCACCATCCTAACCTGTCTCTTTAACACATGGAGCCCCAGATGATTCAAGAATCAGTTTGGTCGGAGTGTTGGGAAACAGCCTGGTCTGTGGGTTGAGAGTCTTTATGAAGTGCCTTCTAAAAACTGTATTCAGTAACAATTCATAATAAATACGATCCATGTTAAGTTTGCCATTAAAAAAAGGGGGGGGTACTTTTACATTGTTCATTTCAAATGCTCCGCCCACCCCGTCAATCCTGTCAGAGACGCAGTATCCCAATTTAGGGGGCAAAGAGTCTGAAAGTCTGATCACTTAAGGCCTCGGAGGTGTTGAGGTTTTCCAAACGTCCCGAAACCCACAGTGGACACGGCACAGTTTCGGTGCTGAGTGTATTCCACTGTCTCCTAATCCTGTGAAAATTAATGGAAAAGTGTTAATTGGGTATCAATACACGCCTAACATTAATCTGGGTATTCAGTGAACCACAACTTTTTGCTGCCCCTCATGCCACATTAACTTGGTTTACTGTAATAATTTAAAACAATAAGGATAATTGTATCCGTACTGTTTTAAAACTACCCCATAAATTGAATGCAGCCTGAATCTGGCCAGCCTGGGATCTGAAAGCATGCGATGATGCCTTTGGGAAGTTACAGGATCCATCATCCTTTTGGAACTCACAGGGGAGGAAGGGAACTTTTACTAACCGCCTACTGTGTGCCAGGATCTGAGGCACCTCACGGCCCCTACAGTGGGGTGAGGGCGCTTTGTTATTTCAAAGACCTCCCCCAAGTCTTGGGAGATCTAGGGCTATTTCACTCTCACGCACTTTTAACTCTCTACACAGGAAGCCCGAGTAACTTTAAACGTAATAAATAAACTAGACAACGGACGCGAACGGTCGAGGGGTTTTCTGAAACCACCACCCAGGCCAGTCACCTCCCGGACGCCCCCCAAACCTGCTACTCCTTCTCCACCATCACTTTTGCTTTGAACCCCAATCATTTGACCTTGACCCCTAACAGCCTACTTTATCATGTTTTTAAAAGAGGTCCGAGGAGCGCTCAACCCCTGTCTTGGGTGCTTTCTCGGGCACCCCCACCCCCACCCCATGGCATCGAGTCAGTTTCTCAAAAGTTTCCCAATAACCTTCGCCGGCCGCGGCTCCGTACCTCTGCCGGGGAAGGGCGGGGAGCCGTGCAGGACGTGCCGGTGCGTGGAGCGGGAGCCAGGGAACTTGCCGCGCGGAAAGGGAAAATAAAACTTGTGGCCGGTGTCGGTCCGGGGAGGGTCTCCTCCATCTCCGAGGACCCCCGATCTCGTGTGTGTGTGTGTGTGTGTGCGGGGGGGGTCCCGAGGACCGCTGGGGGGGTGTGGGGGAGCACGGGGTGTGGGTGTGCTCCAGGCGTCCTTGACCTAAATTTCCGCGCGGCGGCTGGCAACCCGGGCGCGGAGGCAGGGCGGGCGGCGGGGGCCACCTCCGGCTGGGGCGCAGGGGCCCGCGAACTTGGATCGCTGGGGAGGAGCGGGGGGACCCGGGGGGCGCTGCCGCCTCCCCGCCCCGCCGGCTCCCCGCGCCTCCCCCTCCCCCACGCCCAGCCCATGTGATCCGGGCCGGCTCGGGGTGCGCTCTCCCGGCTCCCCGCCCAGCTGGCTCGGGGGGGGGGAGGAGGGCGGGGACCCCCCTCAACTCGCGGGGGGCTCGCGCGCCGCCGCACCCCCCCTCCCCGGTGTGTGTTGGGTGGTGGTGGGGGAGAGCCGAGCGTGTGCGCGCGCGGACCGGCGGGGTGTGTGTGCGCGCGCGCGCGCGAGCGCTTGTGTGTGTGTGTGTGTGTGTGTGTGTGTGTGTGTGTGTGTGTGTGTGTGTGTGGAGGGAGGAGGGGGGCTGGAAACGACAACCAAACGGGGTGCGTGACGTCACCGCATTGGTTACACGACGTTCTAGAACTCCGCCCCACGTGCGCGGGGAGGAGGAGGAGGCGGAGGGGGGGGGGGGGGGGGGGGGGGAGGGGGAGGGGGGGTGTGCGAGGCGGCGGGGCCGAGCTGAGCCGAGCCCACGTGTGACGGGCTCTCGCCGCTGGGCCGGCTCGGCGCTCGCGGAGCTTTCGCAGCCGCCGGGCGGGCGGGGGGGAGGAGGAGGCGGGGGAGGAGGGCCGGAGATCTGGGGCTCCGGAGCTGGCCGCCGCCGCGCTCCGCTTTCGCTGTGGGGCTCGGTGTGTCGGGGGTGGGGGGGCGGGGGGGCTCCGCGATGGAGGCGAATGGGAGCCCGGGCACCTCGGGCAGCGCCAACGACTCCCAGCACGACCCCGGGTAAGTTTCCAGCGCGCCCGCCCGCCGCCCTCCGCGGGCTCCTGTCGGGGCTGTCGCGGGGCGCCGGTGCGGAGCGGGGCGTCCGCGCGTGCCCCTCTCTCCCCGCGCGCACCCCCCGGGGGCCGCTCGCGCACCTCGGGGTGGCGTGGGGGCCGCCCGCCCTCTCCCCAGCCCACCTCCCCGGCTCGCGCTCGCCCCCCCCCCCCCCCCCCCCGGCTTTTCCTTTTAGCTTTTGTAAGTTACACGTCAAAATGGCCGATCTGACATCGGTGCTCACTTCGGTTGTGTTTTCTCCCTCCAGTAAAATGTTTATCGGTGGACTGAGCTGGCAGACCTCACCAGGTAAGGGACGGAGGGGGGGGACGCCCGGGTCCCCCCCTTCTTGGCTTCTTGATTGCTCTTTGTTATCCCGGTGTGAGAAACACCCCCCCTCCCCGCCATTGGCTCCCCACTTCTCCTGTGCAAGGTTATTATTATTATTATTATTATTTTTTAAAAGAGCGAATCCTTTCCCGAGCCCTCTACGCGACCTCTGTTGCTGAATTTCCCCCGCGTGTGCAAAAATATTGCAAAGACAAAACAGCATAACAACAGAAAACTACTTTTGCTTTTTGTCCTTGATCAGAAATTTGCATTGCTTTTTTTTTTTTCCTCCCCCTCTCCACACCTTCTCCCACCGTCCCCCCCCATCTCTCTTTTTCTCTCTCTACAGATAGCCTTAGAGACTATTTTAGCAAATTTGGAGAAATTAGAGAATGTATGGTCATGAGAGATCCCACAACGAAACGCTCCAGGTAACGCACTCCCTTCCCGATTTTGCCTTTATTCCAGAACAAAGTTTTAGTTTTATTTTTGGAGGTGTCTTCGGAAGTAGCTAAGCGGATTTAGAATGGGGCTCAGGCGCGTGGCTGGGCTGGAACGGGCGCTCCCTCCCATAACCCCAAAGGTTATTGTTAATTAGGACCGAACTCTGGATTCAGAGACGCCCATCGCTCCCGCTTGAAGTCATTTTCCTGTCGCTTCTTGTTCTCTTGTTTTAAATGACATTCTCGGTTCATCCACTTTCTACACAGTTTTTTTTTTTTTTTTTTTTTAATTTAAATTTTTGAATGTATGCCTCCTTCGCACTCCCAAACTCTGAAGTCCCCTCCTCGGGAGGTGGGTGAATGTCTTAGTGCCCGGTGTCCCTCGGAAGAAAACAAAGCCTGGAGGAAGGGTAGAGGAGGAGAGGAAACTGAGGCCGCCGGAGTGCAGGCACCGGCGAGTTCCAAGTTACCTCGAGCTGCCCTGCCCCCTCGTCCCGCTTCCCCCACTAACCTTTTTTTTTTTTTTTCCCCTCGCAGGGCAGAGAGGGCTGTGGGCTACAGGAGAATAGCGGGAGGGAGCTGTTGGGGGTGGGGGTCCGGGAGGGCAACTTTCGCACCCCGGGTCTGCACGTAGGGTCTTCTTGTTGCTTGGTGTCACATTTTCTTTCCCCCCCTTTGTCTCCTTCCAGAGGCTTCGGTTTCGTCACCTTCGCAGACCCAGCAAGTGTGGATAAAGTATTAGGTCAGCCCCACCATGAGTTAGATTCCAAGACGGTAGGTGGCTTATTTTTAATTTAAAAAAAATATTTATTTATTTCTTTATTGTTGTCGTTTGCCCCTTTTCACTAACCGGTCTGGGCATTGACAGCCCTGTTTAAAGGGACAGCGCCTTCTTTTGCTTCTGTGCTGGAACTGGGTACTTTTTTAAACAGCTATCGAGCTGGCTCAGAAGTTTGCTGCGGTGGCTGCTTTTGGGGGTTTCTTTTTTTAGAGTGTGCCCCACTGCAGCTTCAGAGGCCGCGGGGCGAAGGTTGGGGGGAGGGGGGTCGGCTCCTTGGGAAGGCTAGCCTCCCGCCGAGGGACCTTCCTTGCAAAGAAACTCCACCGGTGACTGAATGGAACTTTCTTTGTCAGCCCAGCACAGCCTGTGGCATTGGGATGGGCTTGTATTAAAAAAAAGACACAGCCCGGCTTCCTGGTGGAGGGGCCAGGGGTGGGGACGAGGGGAGGGGGCGCTTGCCTTAGTTCTAGGCAACAGGTTTCTCTGGGACTTTAGTGATTTGAGATGTGGTTTTGAGAAGGGAAGGGAGATCCTGGCAGAGCCAACTGGGCATCCAGTGGGGTTGCTCCAGATGGCATCAGACTGAAGGTTGATAAACCTTGGGTTTCGAAATGAATCTCCCTCCCCTTCCTCCTCCCCCCCCTCCCCATCCTTTCATTTGTGTGTGGATACTTTTTCAGCATTAGAATTTTTTTTTTTTTTTTTAAATTCAGAGTTTAGAGATGAAAAGTCCCTAGGTGGAAGTCAGAGAGAGTAAGGAGGAGAAAGAAAAATTGTCAGTCTGGAATAATAAATGTAATGAAGAGTCTGGGGGGTTCCCAATGGTTTGCCTAACCCCCCCCCCCCCCCCCCCCCACCCCCCCCCCCCCCCCCCCCCCCCCCCCCCCCCGGCTTCCTGCCTCTCTTCCCTTCCCTGTTGCTCACCAGAATTTCACCAGGATTTTATTATCCATTTTACCACCGCTTAAGGCAGAGGCCTCAAGGTGATACTGGGGGATGTGGCTTTGGGCCGCTCCTGTTGTGTTGTGAACTCGTGGGGGTGAGGCACAGCCAGCCGCCCATTGTAAACTTGAACCTCGGCCCCCCTCTTCTGTAAAGGCAGCAGAAAGCAAGGGGCTTCCAAGCCCCTTTGACTTTTAACACTGAATGGAGAAGAAGGGATCTGGGTAACCTTCGGTGCACTTGAATTGATTTTGCAAACTCACCCTCTTTTTATGATCAAAATGGTCAGGTGTCGCCCTTATTCCCCCCCCCCCCCACCAAGAAAAGGCCTCACACACTGAAGTCACTTTAATAATTGTCCTAGACTTGTCCGAGGCTTGCAGCCCAGCCTGTTTGTACTGTCAGATCATTTAATATCAAGAATGATCATCGGTAAGGTGATAAGGAATGTCTGAACAGTTTATTTTTTTCCTCCCTGACTCCTTGGCTAGCCGTGCTACAAAGCTAGGAAGGTTTTGCAGGAACAATTCAAAGCAGATCTGTGATTTCTCAGCCGCTCCTTTGGCCTGGGTGGGAGAACCTGAGTTTAGTTTTAATGGGTGCTGGCTGTTGGTATCCCTCGGTCGCTGGGCTTTGGGCTTTGGGCTTTTCCACCCTTGTGTGTTTTGTAGCTCTATTTCGGTTGCTATTACTTAGTATAACCTAGCTTTTGACTTTGTTTCAACGTTCAGTGCGGTTGGTTTATTGACATGGAAACGAGGATCTTGTTTACTGTTACCTTAAAAGCTTTGTTTAGGTAAAGGCCACTGGTGTCCAAAGTAGTACCCTAGTGTGTTCTAGAGAGCCAGTCCTAGCGCTGTACTTAAGTAACTAATGTTTTAATTTGGGATAGTTTTCTTTTTCTTTCTTTTTAAATAGTTGACTAGGAATGTGCAAAAGGTTGGGATTTGCCTTCTTGCCTGTGATGCCCTCCTAGGCCTTGGAGATCTGGGTGCGGGGAAAACTTTGCACATGAGAGAACTCTGATCTCCGGGTACAGCTGATGTCCCCACCACACATACGGGGTGCAGTCCCAAATTGGCTTTGGGTTTTGTAATTTCACTTTTTTTTAATTTTTTTTTTCCTTAATCGTAGTACTTCATTTTCTCTGCTTGTACTTTTCTCACTCCAGCCTCCAGCCATTCATTCATTGCCTGGATTGTATCTCATTTCCCCCCCCCACATAAACGGGGTGGCTTCTCATTGCACCTGTGTGTTGGGTTAGATCAATTCGAGCTTTGGGAGGGCGTCTTCTTTTGAATGAACAAAGATGAGCATCTGTCTCAGTTTTGGCGACAGAATGGAAATCCACACCTGTTGTATTTCTTTCGTAGAGAAACGCTAGTCAGTGCCGGGCATACCTGTAGCCGCAGTACTATTATATTAATCTTTACGAAAGGGTAGTTTCCTAGATCCAAGAGTTTGGTCTGTTTTAGGTTTTGAGGAGTAATCTCTCATTTCTCAGGTAATGTTTTAAAGGTAAAAAGCACAAGGCAGAATTTTAGGTCTTTAAAGTACATTAATAAAAGTGCTCTTTTTTATCTTGGTTTGTCTTACAGGCTGGGGCCCAAGGGGACCCAGGGATTATGGGTGTGTGTGTGTGTGTGGGGAGGGGCTGCGTGTCTCCTCCCCTGCAGTTTTCCTCAAAGCATGATTTTCATCTTCTCCAGTGAGAGAACTGACAAGAGGTTCAGATTTACTTTTTAAAGGGGGGAAATTTGAACACAAAAGCCAGAGCTCATAAATAAATAACTTACAGCAGGTGCCCACGCCGTTCCCCACGTTAAATGACACTTAAAGATTTGCCACGTTTAGAAATCTAATCGAAACCAGTAACGGAAATTTTTGTTTTCTAAAATTCTTTACTGTTTTTCTTTCCTTTTTTTTTTTTTTTAATCTAGGCAGTAACTTTTTTTCTCCTCCCATCAGCTGTTACACTCAGACGCTTCTGTGGGAATTGTAAAGCTAGTTACTGATTGAGAATCATGTGCTCTGTAAGCAGGCAGCTGAGGTAGAGTGGAGGGACTTTTTCCATTGGGGTGGGGTGGAGGTAGGGGAATACTGAGTTACTACTTCTGTCCAGTCGTTTTCTCTTTAACTCTCCCTACAATGGCTTTTTTTTTTTTTTTTTTTTTTTAATTTGGACTTTGGGTTGTTCCTGTAGTTTCACCCCTGTGGTTTTTTTGTTTTTTAAATCCATGTGGATTTAATTCACAAAAATACCTTCTTTTTCCCTTTTCCTACAATTTTTTTTTTTTTTTAAAGAAACAAGTCAGCTTGCCCTGGAGTCATTGATACTTGCATTCTTTGAGATTAACCAATAAAGCAAATGAAAACTTTTTTTTTTTTTGAGACAGGGTCTCACTTTGTTGCCCAGGCTGTCTTAACAGCTTTGAGGGACTTCTACCCCTCAGTGATCCTCCGCCCTGAGCTGCTCCAGTGTAGGGATTACAGATGTGAGCCATCATGCTTGGCTGTAAAGGATCTTTTTAGCCATCCGGAGTAACTGTTCTGCTGGCACCAGTGAGTTAATCTGAGCCGAGCATGGTATTGTTGATTTTCAATTCTTTTTTTTTTTCTTTTCTTTTCTTTTTTTTTTTTTTTTTAATTTTCTTTCCCCTGCTTTGTCAGGGAAAAGAAATAATCACTCATTTACCTACAGCTGGAGGAATGTTTAATTTTGAGATTGTGATTTTTTTTTTCTCTATAGATAACGTTGTACCTATCTTGTTCCCTGGCCACACACTGTACATTAGCTCCGGGTGTCATTCAGAGTCTGTGGACGAGAAGTCCTTAGTCTAACTAAGAATGCATGAGCTCTGGCTTATAAAGCGCTTCATTCACTGTAATGCACGGTAGAACATTCCAGAAAGGTGAACCTTATAAGCCCCATCGGGACGATGGTGAAAGTTGAGATCAAAGCTGAAGGAGCTTTTTCAGTTGCCTAAGAACTTACTAAAAGCTGAGGTCTAAGCCTGAGAAATGAGTGATTAGTAATTAGGTGGTTGGTCATTGGTGTTTTCTTTTTTTTTTCTTCTCCTCTCTCCAAACTACTGATTTCTTCCTTTTTATTTTTATTTTTTTCCTCCAGATTGACCCCAAAGTTGCATTTCCTCGCCGTGCGCAACCCAAGGTAAGTAGGAGAGCCGTGGATGGGATTTTAGCAAGGCTTGCGAGTTTCAGAGCCCAGCACTGGCGACTGTTGGAGGCTGGTGTTTGCACCTCCAGGGCATCAGCAGAGGGAGGCGGAAGGCCCAGGTGAGCACTTCTGCGGATGGCCTTGTGCCTCCAAGTCAGCGTATGGAAGTAGGTTCCAAGCGTCCAGCTGGGGAGAGGGGCAGATGTGACCCTCCGCCCCAGGGTGTGGCACCGTCTGCCGCAGTATTTATGCAAGTGTTTTCTGGCTTACTCGAAAGCACGGCTAAGATCCTATGTGGAAAAGTTGAACATTTCCTCATGCCTCTCTGTGGAGGGCCCTGTGCTGAGGTCTTACAGTCTGGAGGTTTTGGGAGAAGAGCAGAACTTAAGCAGCTTGTCCTTTCTTGGAAAACAAACAAAAACAAAACAACCTTTCCTAGAACCCCCTAAAACTGTAGCTCTGGGGGGGAGCTAGGGGTATCCCCGGTCAGGTGGATCAGTCAGAGCCACTAGAAACTAAGAGGCTGCTCGGCCTCTGGGTTCCAGAGAGCTGGGGCTGGGGAGGAGGAGGTTGAAACTGTGTGGCCCCATAGCAGTGGCACTGCAAGATGTACTTAAAGGATTGAGGCTGCACTTTTGTAAAGTGTGTAGTTAACAATGTTTCCCCTGTGCCTGGCTCGGAGGGGAGGCAGGCCTGCTTCCCTTACACAGAGAGAAAGGGTGATGGCCCTTGGAAAATTCAGTGTATTCCTCTCAGCAGAGGCTCTCAGAGTGGAGCCTTCTAATTGTGTGGAGGAGAAAATGCACCTTAGCAAAGGAAAAGGCGGTGGTTGGGGATGGTATTTTGAGAATTTCAGGTCTGGAACCTGCCATGTGAGTGAGTGAGTGAGTGGGTGGGTGGGTAGGTGAGTGAGTGAATTTTTTTTTTTTTTAGATGGAACTGGCATCTCTTAAGTAAGCAGAAGTACATGCTTGAAGGTGGCTTTCCCCCCCTAACACTTAAAACAGATCGCAGGAATTAATGAAGAGCTTAGCTTCCTTCACTCGGCATAAACCTCGGGGCTGGCTTTAACTGTGTGTTGCTTTCCATGCTGGGTATGAGCCTTTCCATCTCAGAATCAGCAGTGTCTCCTGGGTTTGGAAGGATTGTTATTTCTTCCCTTGTGTGAGTCTTCAAATTTCCAGGTTAGTCATTTGATCACTCACAACTTGGATCAGGTTTCCCTTTAGGGAAACTGGAAAAATCTCTGACTTGGGTGAAACCATGGATTCACACCCATTCCCTCCATCTCTCGTTTCTCTGTTCTCACCAACTCTCTTTTTCAGCCAGGAAGATGGTATTTCACGTTAATGTGCTGTGGTCATTTCTCCCCTCCTCCCAAACCTTCGACTTGCAAACAAGATAGATGATGTCTCAGGCCTGTCAGAGGAATATGGACCTTCCTCATTTCCCAGGCCAAGCCTGAGGCGTTTGTGAGTCCTCAGATGTATATTACTATCAATCCTGTTGAAAAAGATCAGATGCCTTGGCACGTCAGTGATCGGACCCCCGTTTCTTAAAAAGTTTAATGACATGTCACTTTGCAAAGGTCTTTGCTGTCCCTCATCCACACCTGAATCCCAGCTCTGTCTCGGTTTCCTCATCGATGGTCCAGGGATGATGGTATCATCTTCTTCCCAAAGAAAGGTGATTGTGAAAAATGAGAGTGGTTTGGCGAGGGCCTCATGGCTCATCATCATCACCATCATTATGGCTGGTTTAGTCATCATTGGGATGGTCCTTGTTTGCAGCCTGGACCACCTGATTTCAGATGCCAGCTGTGCCACTCATTAACTGCTGGGAACTTGGCCAGATCACTTCCTTAAACTTCAGTTTCCTTTTCTCATGCTAACGTGCACCTAGAAGGGTCTGTGACACGCTGAGACATGGCAAGTGTGATCCACAGTTATTTACTGGTTATTTTTTGAGAGAGGCTTTGGACTTAGCTTTTTTTTTTGGGGGGGGGGTGGGTGGCGGTGCTCAGACTGGTTCTCTGAGAGATCTAGGACTAACATTAACTGAGTGAAGCACTTTGTGTGGGGGTGAGGGGGCCAGTTCCTTGGACAGATGAGGCAGCTGAAATACTGACAGGTTGAGTGGTGATATAACACACACACACGCACACACTCAAAAACACACCTAGGCAATCTGCCCCCAAAGTTGGTCTTGTTGGGGTGCCACTGGACATTGCCTCCATGTCAGAAACGAGGGGACATGGCTTCCTGAGGTTAGCAGATCATGAAGTGCAGAACCCAAGTCCGTAAAGTTTCAGGTTCTTGGGTTCTGGTCATTCTCCTCCCCTTGTGACGTCATCTGATTGTATCGATACTGTCTTGTGTTCTGTATCTGACACCTTGGGGTATCCGGCCAGGTGCTTCTAGGGTTGCTCAACCCAGGGAGGCAGGAGTTGTTGAGCTGCAGCTGCGTCATGGTTGGGAACTAGAACAGGGTAGGGAAAGGACTTGCCCTCTTTGGTGGTTCTCCCACAGAGCTAAAGCTGGCCATCCGGGTTCTAGAGCAAGGGATGGCAGCCGGGCTGGCAGGAGTCTAGAACCTTGAACAAAGCCTTGTTTATGTTTTATTTATCTCCCTTCCATAAAACTTCTGCGTGTCTGCTGGGGTCACGGCGACAGGGCAGACCCTACCCTTCTGTGTGGACTGGGTGAGGAGCTTGTAAATGATGTGTCGGCTTGAGTTTCAGTTAAAACTCATTTCTCTGCTTTCTGGCCGCCCCTCCCTGCTCACACTTGCCAGAGAAATATTCCGTGGAGGTGTTAAACAAGACGGGTGGAAAGAAACTGTAACTTGAGACCAAAGAAAATCTGTGGCAGTGAAGAACGGGTTTCATATGAGTACTGTCATAATATTCTTTAATGTCTCGTATAAATAAAAATCTGTTTTGTCCAGAATTTTAATGAGCAGCGAAGGCAGGCTGTGGAGTCCTTTGGTTCACCCGGCTCACCCTTTGTGATGCGAATGTTCACAGGGCTTTATTAGGGAGTCTAGGGACCATGCTTGGCCATTCATTAGCGGAGTACATTTTGATCGGGAGGAGATGATGGGATCGGTCCATGCCTTCCTATTTCTCTGGGGCAAAGTACATAAGGGGATTCTGCCCCCCCCCCCACCGTCTTCTTAAAAATTAAAATGGTCATGGTACTCTAAAAAGATGACTTAATTTGAGGCCGTGACAGACCCGAGGCTGACGGGGATCAATCATGCCATGTCTTTTCTTTGTCTCCTTTGGGTCCAAGTGTCAGCTGCCTGGGAGAGTTTTGTTCCAGCCTGTGGCTTCTTTTTCTTTTATGGAGGAACCTACACACTCCTTAGCATCCATGGGTGAGAGTGGAGCCTGGGCGTGACTCACCATCTGTCCTTATTATCCTTGGGTATAAGAACATAATCTCCACTCTTTCCGGTTATTATTTTCTGCAAGTTTTATTTATTTTAGCCAAATTGGCATTTATTATTATTATTATTATTTTTTTAATGAGCACATAAAAAACCATAAACATTGCACAGACATTAAAAACGTGTTGTATGTGAGGCTGGAGAGATGGCTCAGGAGGAAGGAGCTTTTGCTGTTCTCATAGAGGACCCGAGTTCTGTTCCCAGCATCCATGTTAGGTTATAGCCACCTGTAACTGCGGCTCCAGGCTATCGAAAGTCACTTTCTTTTGGTCTCCACAGGTGTCTTCACACACAAGTCCTGTGCACACACATAACTGTGAATAAGAAAAAAAAAATAGACCTCAGCAGAGGAGCGCGTGCTGTTTTGAGTCGTGTATGTTCATTGTGTCCCTTGAAACCTTAGCTGTAGGGATGTCATCTGTTCAGCCTATTTCCAGTTGCCTTCAGTGACAGCTGGGTGACTGTGGGCATACCACTTAAATCCTAGTAGGCCTCAGTTTCCTTCTCTTAAAAAAAAAAACATGATATGCTGATCCTCATGGTGTTATTTTGGAAATGAATGAAAATTGTTCTTTGGGAACTGTGTATGGACAAGTGGTACCCAGCACCCGTCTGCTGAGACTGTTATGGAATTACTGTTTTGTCTTAAGATGGGATCTTATGTATCCTTAGGGCAGCCTCAGAATCATTTTGTAGCCCATGATAACCTTGAACTTTTAATTCTCCTGCCTCTACCTCCCAAGTTCTGAAAATACAGGCCACCAACCCCAGGCTTATACAGCACTAGAGAGTGAACCCAGGGCTTCATGCCTCTTGGGCGGGCAGCTCCTCTACCAACTGAACTTTATTCCTTATTTTAAAGAGAGAGAGAAAAAAAAAAAGCAATGGTAAAATGACTTCAGAAAAAAACAAAAGTCTTAATCAGAACGTAAGCCCCCTGGCTGCTTGGAGTTCGGCTCCTGCCTGACTTTTCCTCGCTGGAGACGGCTGCCATCTCTCTGCTCATGTTCCGTTGGGCGCTTCCAGTCAACCACAACAGTCAAGTTGTGGAGAGTTGAGCCAGGAACCAGATTTTCTTGTCCCCACTTTGTCCTTAGACGTTGCTTCAGGGTCCCGAAAGGTCCTCTGTGAAGCAGGCATCCAGATGGGTTCAGTGGCAGCCCGCATACCTCCTGTTCCGGGGGAGTGGTTTCTTGGCAGCTTCTGAAGGGCGAAGGGTGATGCCGGCATCTGGCCTTCCCTTGCCGCCGTAGGCCGGGTCACCCGGCATCTTGCTATCTCGGGTGATCTGCAGCTGTCATCTCGGCAGCCTCGGTTAAGCAGCCTGCGTGGTAAGCCTTTCCCCATCCTGTGGGATGTAGAGGCGCATCTTTTCCCCAACAAGGTCCCCAAAGTGAGGACCTTGGAGGATTAATGTCTTAGCTTCTTGTTTGTCAGAGAGCCGTCCTCTTTCCTGTGTTCCAAGCCCTTCGCAGGTGTCTGCTCAAGGAGAGAACCTTTGTCCTACAAATGTCCTCTCCCCGGATGTTGCTTTTCCTTCCAGG